AACAAAAATCAACAAGTGGAACTACATCAAACTAAAAAGCTTCTACACAGCAAAGGAAACCACCAACAAAACGCAAAGGCAAGCTACAGAATGGGAGAAAATATTTGCAAACCATATACCTGATAAGGAGTTAATATCCAAAATACACAAGGAACTCCTACAACTCAATAGCGAAAGAAAAAAAAAATGATCCAATTAAAAAATGGGCAGAGGACCTCAACAGATATTTTTCCAAAGAAGATATACAAATGGCCAACAGGTATATGAAAAGGCGCTCAATATTGCTAAACATGAGGGAAATGCAAATCAAAATCACAATGAGATATCACCTCACACCTATTAGAATGGCTATTATCAAAAAGACAAAAAATAAGTATTGGCGAGGATGTGGAGAAACTGGAACCCTTGTGCACTATTGTTGGGAATGTAAATTGGTATAGTCACTATGGAAAAATGGTATGGAGGTTCTTCAAAAAATTAAAAATAGAACTACCATATGATTCAGCAATCCCACTTCTGGGTACATATCCAAAGGAGATGAAATCACCATCTCAAAGAAGTTTCTGCACCCCCACGTTCACTGCAGCATTATTCACAATAGCCAAGACAGGGAAGCACCCTAAATGTCCATCAGTGGATGAATGGATAAAGAAAATGTGTGCATATATATATATGGTGGAATATTATTCAACCATAAAAAAATAAAGAAATCCTGCCATTTACAACAACATGGATGGACCTTGAAGGCATTATGCTAAAAGAAATAAGTCAGACAAAGAAAGATAAATACTCATGGTCTCACTTATATGTGGAATCTAAAAACATCAAACTCATAGAAACAGAGAATAGAATGGTGGTTTCCAGGGACTGGGGGTGGGGAAAATGGGGAGAAGTTGGTCAAAGGGTACAAACTTCCAGTTATACGATGAATAAGCTCTGGGGATCTAATGTACAACATGGTGACTATTTAACAATATTGTATCGTGTATTTGCAAGTTGCTAAGAGAGTAAATCTTAAATGTTCTCGCCACACACAAAAAAGGTAATTATGTGAGGTGATGGATACGTTAACCAACCTTATTGTAATCTTTTCACAATACATATGTGTATTAAATCATCACAATTTACATCTTAAACTTACACAGTGTTATATCTCACTTACGTCTCAATAAAGCTGGAAAAAACAAACCAAGGGCAGCCTCTCTCACTCTGCCCCCACCTTGTAGGTTAAAAGATTACGTGTCCATAGACGCAGGTTCTGCTTTCTGGTCAAGTTCCACCTCCCTCTGTGGTCAGCACGGGCAGGCGGGAGGGAGATGCACAGTACGGGGAAACCACAGCTACTGGACCCCAAAGGCCTCTCCCACCTTCCACCTCAGCAACTTGCATTCCTAGCCTTCCTGTGGACCGCCCCCACATCCTTCTCTTGACGTCTCAGCAGCCCCTGAATCTCTAAGGCTCTCACAACACCATGGAAATCAAACCCAACTCCAACCAGAAAAGTATCTGTCCTCTGCTTAAATCTCTGATGTCCCACACATGGCTGGTTAAGGGTCCTATGTTTCCAATCTAGGCATCACACAGAAGCTTGAGTGATCTTCACAAAATCAGATCACGTCATGTCTTCCACTTAAATCACTTTAAGGCCGCCTTAGTGCCTCAGAAAAGAGAATCACTCTATACCATGGCTTCTGACAGGGCAAACTATAGCCATGGGCCAAATCCAGCCAGGCCACCTGTTTTCATAACTAAAGTTTTATTGGAACATCGCCACATCTATTTGTTCACCTGTTGTCTGTGGCTGCTTTTGCTGCAATGGCAGAGATGCAGCAGACCACATGGCCCACAAAGTCTAAAATATTTACTATCTAGATGCTTCACAGAAAAAGTTTCCCAACCCCTGGTTTTCCTGCCTCTTTCATTGTTGTTGTAAAATATATATAACATAAAATTGACCATTTTAACCATTTCTAAATGTACAATGCAGTCGCACTAAGTACACTCACATTGTTGTGCAACCATCACCACCACTTATCTCCAGAACTTTTTCATTTCCCAAACTGAAACTCTGTACTCAGTAAACACTAACTCCTCATTCCCCTTCCCCCAGTCTCTGGTAACCTCTATTCTACTGTCTGTCTTGGTGAATTTGCCTGTTCTAGGTGTCTCATGTAAGTGAAATCATACAATATCTGTCCTTTTGTGTCCGGCTTATTTCACTTAGTGTAATGTTTTCAAGGTTCGTCCGTGTTGTAGCATGTGTCAGAATTTCATTCCTTTTTATGGCAGAATACTATTCCATTGTATAGACATACCACATTTGTTTATCCATTCATCTTCCAATGAACACTTGGATTGTTTCCACCTTTGGGCTGTTATGAATAATGCTTCCACCTGCCTAATACGTGAGTCTCTTCTTGTATCACATGCCCTGCTCCCTTAGCCACAGAGAACTGTCAATTCCTCACACGTACCATGCTCTCTTCCATCTCTCAGCCAGAACACCTCCCACCCCCTTCACCGTCCTAATCCCTACTTAGCCTTCAGTCCAAACAGGCATCTGGAAGCCATCCCTGACCAGACCCTCCCTAGGCCCCCACTCACCTCCTTGCCAGCTCAAACATGATCAGGTCCATCTGGTCATAAGCTCCGACAGCATCCTGCACTTTCTCTTTACAGCCTGTAACACTGTTTGTAATGATGCCTGGACACAATACGATAAAACCTATGTGTGGTTATTTGACTAATGTTGGTCTTCACAAGGCCAAGGGCTATGTCTCTTCCGGCTTTCCATTATACCCCCCACCAACTAGCCCGGAGCCTAGAACACACCACATTTCATCACTTCTAAGATGCACATATTTTTACATTGACCACAGGATGCATCTTACAATCAATGCCTTAGATTCTCCCGCATACGGTAATGAGAGCTCAAGAAACACTGGCTAAATCGGTGAAGACCCTCACAGGTAGGTGCTACTCTGAACCCCCTGAGGGGCGACGGCTGACACAGGCAATGGGAGGGGTCAGGCGTGTGTCCCCGAAGGTCCCGGGACCCTCACCAGTGCTCACCCCAGCCACGTCACAAAAGCAACATGTCACAGGCACACGGATTCTTTATTGCTTAAGGAGGGAGGGAGGGGGTCCGAGACTGGGGCGCCTCCTGAGCCCCTCTGCATACACGCCCCCACACACTACTCCATCTTCCCTTCTCTTCCTTTGGGGGTTTCAGCCCAGCAGTTGCTTTTGACCCCACAATGGAGGCGACAGCTCCCTTCAGGGAACGGGACATGCTGCGGGCATGGGGAGGGGGTATAAAACAGGAACCGCAGCAGGGGCTGGGGCCAGCTTGCCCTCAGGCCCACTCACCACTGGCTAGGGTCATGGGCACTGCCCAGCGGTCACCACTCTCACCTCGGTGGCACTGGGGACTCCACACACAATGGAGAGCCAGCCCTGGATAAACGCCCGAATCAAAGGTGAATGGGCACAGCTGGGGCAGGGGTCTGGAAATCCTTTATGGAGGCCTTTGCAAGGTCACAAGAAGCCAAAGTGAAAAGCGAAGGCCAGGTCCGGCCAGGGCCTCTGCACTTCATGTTTCCCACAGAAGCCTGGGCTAGCCCCGCTGCCTCTGGCTCACTCCAGGTCACCCTCTGGGGTCTCCAACCGGCCTCGGCCCTGAGAGGGGCCCTCACACACTGGACATGCAATGACCTCTCCCCACTGCTCCCCCACATCACAGCTGCAGGGCTCCCAGAACGGGGGTCCAGGCCTCTCACACACAACAGTCCCCAAATTTAGACTCTTTAAGGTATCTCCTACAAAGATCACACGTAATCATTTTATCTTCTATGCCTTAACTGCAATTGTGTTAAATGTAAATTTTTACAACATGCTACCCACTTTTGTGACCCTGTTTAGCATTTCTTCCATTTTAATATACTGAGAACCTCAAAAGAATGCAAGGAAGCCAGGCCGCAGTCGGCCTCTGAGGGGCCCCGCAGAGAGCTGCCCATTTCTCCCACTAGCCAGCATGTAGCCACAGATACCATGTCACCCTCTGCTGGCAGCAAGACCCCCCCAAACCAGAGCCAGACACGCACTGCACCCACTTTCATGATTTTCTCCCCTGAGTGCCTGTGCCCCCCTAAGCTTCTATATGACGTCCTTTGCTCTGATAGTCCATTTCCCCACTCCCTGAGCCACCTCCCACCCCAAGCTGACCTGGCCACGCCTCTTATAAGCAGTTATAAGCAGTGAGCATGGCCCGTGCACAGCGTGGGTCTAGAGCTGTCCAGTACAGCAGCCACTCACCACACGGAGCCATTCCACACTGGGAATGTGGCCAGTCCAAACCGAGATGAGCAGTAGATATAAAATACACACTGGATTTCGAACACTTAGAATGCAAAATATTTCCATAACAACATTTTACATTCATTCTATGTTGAAATGATAATATTTTGATATATTGGGTTAAATGACACATATTATAAAAATTAATATCACTTGTTTCTTTTTACTCTTTTTAATGTGGCTACTGGAAAATGTAAGGTTGCATATGTAGCTCGCATCCTACTACTAGAGACAGCACTAGGCCATACTCTGCAGGGCCGGCAAACTTTCCCCATGAAGGGCCAGATGGCCAATATTTTTGGCTTTGGGGCCATACTCAACCCCACCATCGCAGCAAGAAAGCAGCCACAGACAATACATACATGAAGGAACATGGCTGTGTTGCAATAAATTCAGATTTGGCCCCTAGGCTATGGTTTGCAGACCCCTACTTTAGAGTATTGGTATAAAAAGGGTCACTTCTGGGAAATTCCAATCTATGCATTTTCTCACGGCCCCTCAGTGAAAAATCACCTTTCATTCAACCGGAGGAAGGAAACACAAGTCCATTCGAGGCTTCTCTGACTGGGAGGCCCCTGGGGCCGTGAGGCAGCCCCTCGCACCCTGGGCTCAGCCGCCCCAGGGCACCCACCACATGTACTCACTTGGGCGTGTGGGCCTCGTCTACGCGGTGCGCCAGCTGGAACTCGTGGGACTTGCTGCGATGCAGGGCCGTGAAACCCGGGATCAAGTGGATGAGCTTTCGGGAAGAGGGTGGCGGGGTCCCGGGGGGCTTTAGCTTGCTCTTCCTCCTCATGGGCGGCGTGCCTGGCGGGGTCACGGTGGTGACGATATTGGGGGTGCGCGGTGGGGTGCGGACCGCGTGCCTTTGCCTGGGCGACGGGGGCAGGGAACGGTGGCCCGACTCCAGTGGCGGTGGCGGGCATAGGCCCGGGTAGGCGTCCACGGTGAGCCTGTCCACGTGGGTGTACACGGGGGCCCCGGGCGTGGGGCTGGTGTGACAGTAGTGCTGGACGCACCTGGACTGGACCCTGGGGCTCTGGGAGAGGTGGGTGCGGATCCACGGGGTCGGCTCCGGGGGGCACACGGGATTGTTCTCCTTCCCCGTCTCCGTGGTGGGCCACTGGATGGTCCAGTCTTGTTTGGAAAGGTTGCCTCCTGAGTTGGAGCAAAGCAGCAGAGAGACAGTGGGTAAGCCATGAGAAAGCCAGGCGAATTACACCATATGCACGTTACAGCACATGCGCATTACACGGATACACACCACACGTACGCAGGTCACACCATATGCACATTTACAAAAATCCAACACGCCCACTCAGCCACTCCCTAAAGAGAATGGAATCCCTTTGTTGACCCTCTCACCATAACCCCCATTCAATCCCCAGGGCTGGGGAGCCCACATCCCAAACGCCCCCAAAAGCAAAGCAGTTAATTCCTGCCTTTTGAGTTTCCAAGCCTCCCAGTTCCAGCAATTTCAAGGTGATTTAAAAGATTTTCAAGGATAATCTTTCCCTTACATAGCAATTTTAATACCTAACCCCCACGTGAGATACACGAATTCTGCGGAAGTCAGGTTCGCCCCCGTCACTCCCTGACCCCTTACTCAGCACCTACATACTTCTTCTAGATCCACCACTGCTGTGTGCTCGGCCATGCACTCATTCAACAAGCACTTTCTGAATGTGCCAAGCTCTATGCTTGGAAAAGGCACAAGAGACCACACATAGGCCAGGCCCAGGTCCCCTAGACTTACATTCTGCAGAAGGAGAGACAGGAAAGAGAAGAAAACACACTCATGAAAGGATTTCAGGTGGTTGTCAGTGCCGGTAGGGAAACAAACAGAATGATGTGATAAGAAGAGAATTGGCCACGGTGAGTGTCAACAGTGATACGTGCAACCACAGAACACCACTCAGCCACATAAAGGAAGGAACCATTGATGCCCACAATGGCCTGGGGACTCTCCAAAGCAAAAAAGCCAATCCCAAAGGTTACGTGTATGACTCCATTTATATACCGTTTTTGAAATGACAACACTCTAGAAATGGAGGATGGATTGGTGGTTGCCAGGGATTAGGGATGGAGGACAGAGGCAGGAGGGAGGTAGGTGTGGCTACAGAAGGGCCACACAAGGGACACTTGTGGCATTGGAACTGCCCAGTGTCTTCACTGTGGGTGGGGCTGGATATGTGAACCGACCCAGGTGATAAAATTGCACAGAACTAAATACACACACATAAGTTCTGCAAAAACTTACTTTTTTTGTAAAAGACAACGTTTTTTGCAAAAAAAATAAAATTTGGAAAAGCACATAGTTTTGCAAAAAGTTACCATTGAGAGAAACCGAGCAAACTGTACAGGGGATCTGTGATGGGCTGAATGTTTGTATCTCCCCAAAATCCATATGTTGAAATCCTAATCTCCAAGGTGGTGGTATTAGGAGGTGGGGCTTTGGGGGTGATTGGGTTTAGATGAGGTTGAGGGTGGGGCCCTCATGATGGGATTAGTGCCCTTCTAAGGAGATGAAGAGACACAAAAGCTCCAAGGTGAGGCCATGAAGGGGGCTGTCTACAAGCCAGGAAGAGGCCCTCCATGAGAACCAAATCTGCCTGCACCTTGATCTTGGACTTCCCAGCTTCCAGAACTGTGAGAAATAGTGTCTGTTGTTTAAGCCACCCAGTCTATGGTATTTGTTACAGCAGCCTGAGCTGACTACGGCAGGATCTGTCTACGTTATTTCTTACAACTGCATGTGAACCTACAATTAGCCCAATGAAAATTTCAATTGAAAACACAAGATTTGGTGAGGGGGCTTACTTCAGGTCGAGTGGTCAGGCCTTTAAGGAAGTGACATTTAAGCTGGCATCTGAGGACAAGAAGGGGATCGCCATGCCAAGAGCTGAGGAAAGAGCATGGCGGGTGTGGGCAGGGGGAGGAGGATGTCAAGCACCAAAGCATAGAGGTAGGAAGGGGCTTTTTTTTTTTTAAAGTCTTACAACAGTTTATTAGGAAAAAATGGTGATATTAAAAAAATACCCACTGTCATGAATGCAAGTTGAATTTTTCAGCCTGGTCTAGGCTGAGTCAAAAAATAAAAATAAAAATCCAATCGTGCATTACCATCTTTTCATTCATTTGCCATACTGAGATTTGGGCTACATGTGCAGACTCTCAAGCTACAATGTGCAGACTTTCTTCCACACTAACAGATGTAAAAGCATAAGGGTCAAATAATACCATATGTACAGGCTTAAAAACCAGCTAAATTAGGGCAATTACTTTCCTAGCTCCCTTTTCTGGGTGCCTGCTCAAAGGCAGTGTATAGTGACAATGGGGCAAGTAGCTCAAGGAGAGGCTAAAGGGACAAGTGAGGGACAGACCTCCAGGCCTGTGGGACAAGGTTCAGTGTGGATTTTATACCAAGTTCATTGGTTTTGATCTAAAGTTCATTTCTCAGCCATCACTGGGGCTGCCCCTCGGACACGGAGAGCAGGGCTCCAGGCCAGAGGCGATGCTGGCTCCCATTGGGGTGATGGCAGCAAAGATAGAGAGAAGTCAGCAGGGTGTCAATGGATGAAAAAGCAGGACCTGGCAGAAGGTGACAGAGTAGGCCCTCCTGTCACGGGCCAAGGAAGGAGATTTGGGGCAGAAATAAATTTCAACTCATGGCCGACTAGCAATAACAATAATAATTACTATAACGACCATAACGAGAGCTAATTTATGGAGCATTGGACAGTTGACAAAGTGCTCTCATGAACACTGACTCATTGCCCCATTTTTAATTAAAACAACTCACTTTGTTATTACATGTTCATTATAGAAAAATTAGAAAATTCAGATAAGGAAAAGGCAATGTTGTTTTCCAGCCTAGCCATCATCCCTATTAATGTTTGGCTGTGGAGCCTGCCAGATGGTTTGCTCTGCATTTTTTTTTTTTTTAAGAAATGCCATAAGATCTTATTTAATGGTTTGTCATCTGCTTTCTTCATTCGTTATACTGGGACTCTTTTACATCTTACTTAATTTTCATAACTCTGTGTGCAAAGAGCCACTTTGATCTCCCCTTTGTAGATAAGGAAATGGATGTGCAGAGATGAAGATGTGCCCAAGTTCACAACAGAGATGGGGACCGGCAGCTGAGATTAAACCCAGGACCTCGCCCATCTCAACAACCAGGGCACAGGGGCATCTGCGATGGAGAGCTGGGATCTGCATTTACCGAAGACCATGGAACATTAAAATCAGCCAAATGGGGATAGAAGCTGGAGCAAGGGTTCATTTCTAACAAGAGTCTCCCTTTTCCCAGACTTTGCCAGAACATTCTATCAAAGTCACCATCCCATGGTGGCTATTCTCAAATACTTACACATACACAATAGCCTAGTGACTAAGAGAGCCAACTCTGGAGGCAGATGACTTGGCCCTATTTCTGGCTCCCCCACTTACTGGCTGTGTGGCCTTGGGCACTTGTCTAACCTCTCTGAGTCTTTGCTTTATCACCTGTGAAATGGAGCAATAATAGGACCTACCCCAGGGGAATATTATGAAGATCAAATGCAATAACACGAGTGATGTGCTGAGCACCGTACCTGGCACACAGTAGGCACTCCATAAATGTTCGCTACCCTCACTGTAATTCTCAACACTATGGTAACATGGCACTACCTCCCATTGAAAGAGTGTGCACTTGTGCTGAGAGCTGTACACACAGCAGATGCCATCATCGCCCTGCGAACCTCTAGGGAGCTGATGCTCAGAGAGGCTGAATAGCTGAGAGCCAGGGGCAGGCAGAGAAGCAAGCCCAGATCAGCCTCTCCATCTCCATCAAGCTCTGGATTGACGCATTTGCTCAGCGAATACAAGCTCAGTGTCCAATTAGCCTAAGTAAATCATGCTTAAGAAAGTCAACCTATTTTTTAAGCTATCTTAATCATATACTCACTCCAAGACCACAGAGAAGCACTCTGGCATAATAGCTACAGCTCTTGCCCTCCCGGAGTGAAATGGAAAGAATATGGAATTGAGACTCAGAGAGATCTGGCTTAGAACTCAGGTTCTACCACTGGCCGGCTCTGTGACCTTGGGCAAGTTACTTGACCTCTCTGAGCCTCAGTGTCGGGGTTTGTAACATGAGAATGAACATGGCTCCCTTGGAGGGTGCAGTGAGGGTTGAATGCATTCATTCATTCAACAAGTATTTCACAAATATTTGAATGCTTCTCATATACCAGGCACTGTTTTAGGCACTGGGATAAAGCAATGAATGAAAGAGACAAAGTCCTTGTCCTCATGGGGCTCACAATCTTAGTGGGGAAACAGAAGAAAGGGGATGAGTGAATAAACGACATATGTCATATGAAATCTATTATCTACGATATGTCAGTAATAATAAGTGCTATGGAGAAAAAGAAAGCTAGGCACGGGTACAAAAAAAGAGTGCTGGGGGGCTACTTTAGTCAGAAAAGGATGAGGAAGCAACAGTGGACATTTGAGCAAATACCAGAGTGAAGCAAGGAGCAAGTTGATGAGATCAAATGAGTCAAGCCGTCAGCACAGAGCCTGGACCACCACGATGATGCAGCCAAACAGGAGCGATGACTAAGATATCGATTCCTGATGCCTGGGACTCATCCAATTTGCTCCCCAGACATTAGCCATGCCAGCCCCTGGGGTTGGGTGTCTGTCCTTCCCCTGCCCTCAAGATGCTCACAGTCTGGTGGAAGATCGGTAAGGAAATAAGCACTCACTGCAACTCCACTCCCAGGGAGAGAGCCAAAGGAGTTGAAAGCAGGTACTCCAAGTTTTGTATATGAATGTTTACAGCAGCACTAGTCACAATAGCCAAAAGGTGGAAACAACGCAAATGTCCATTGATTGACAAATAGATAAACAAAATGTGGTATGTCCGTGCAACGGAATATTATTCTGCCATAAAAAGGAATGCAGTACTGATATATGCTACGATTTGGATAAACCTCAAAAATATTATGCTCAGTGAAAGAAGCCAGACACAAAAGGTCACATAGTGTATGGTTTCATTTACATAAAGTGTCCAGAAGAGGCATATCTATAGAGACAGAAAGCAGACTAGTGGTTGCCAGGGACCAGGGGGAGGAGAGAATGGGAACAACTGCTTAATGGGTACCGGGTTT